GTGCAGCCTTAATGCGGCCTTAATAAAAAACAAACCCCATGCATGCATATAGGATGTCTCATTTAATTTAAATATTTTGAACCGAAAACGTTCTTATATAAATTATTTTTTATAAAATATAAGAAAATACACATATATGTATGTTCGTGTACGTTTGCTTACGCACGCATGTACGCATATACATACGCACATACGTACATACAAATATAAACATACACATATATATATATATATATATATATATATATACTCATATATACGCACAACACAAGTATATACAAATACCTGTATCTCCGTCAATATTGTCAAGCTCAGCAGTTAATGAGCGCATACATACGAATTTATCACATAAATATTGTATATCGTTACTGGCATTTATCTCTTTTGATATTTGTTGGCAATTTGTTGATTTATCTTCATCATATGTTGATATATTCGCATTAGTAATTAAGTTTCTCTAAAAGAAATTAGATATTATAAGAATTGAATATTTAAACGTTAAAAATGCATTATTTGATGTATTTTGTACCATAGAATAAAATAATTGTTCCTGTTTATCCTTAAATCTTTGTTCTAAATATTTTTCAAGCTTTGTTAATCCTTCATCAGTTCGAAAATCAACGAAATCTTTTAAAAACGACCAATATTCCTTCCAAGGTACTTGATATTCTTTAGCAAGATCTCTAGAAAAATATCAAGTATTAAAAAAAGTCACAATATTTTATTATTTTTATTGTAATAAATATGATATAAAAATGAAATAAACAAGAATTAGGCTCAAAGAATTAAATCGAAACAGATGCCAATTCAGAGCTGACGCAAGTTATTAGCTATATAAGCATATATTAATAACAAAATTAACAGAAATTGCAAAGTAAATGTTTCGATTCCAAGATTCGGTTTATCCTCAATACAATATTATAAATCAAATAACACTGTATATTATAAAGTCTTAAGACTTGACATTTAGAATCATTTTATTCATTTTATTAATCGTAAAAAGATATGTTAATGCAAATAACGTTTCTCTTAAGTATTTCTGAAATTAAATTAAATGTCAGATGATTAACATTTTGTCTTGTGTTAAATAAGCTTAGGCTGAAATAGTTTCAGTACTCTCTATCTCTAATCTCTATCATATAAATAAAGAATTATATATTAATAATTTCTAATGTCAAATGTTAAATTTACAATTTAAAAAGTATGAAATACTATAAACTTATACACACGTACACATACACACAATATAATAAATCTGATATGAATAATTCTAAATGTTCTTCTTTCAAAATCTTTCAAAACAATTGAAAAATAAGAAGTGTTTAAACATAAGTAATTGTAATAAGAAATGGAAATGTCATTATTTTTTTTTGTAAATAGTTTGGTAATAGCTCAAGAACAGTTTATTTGTAAATCGAGAACTTGTTTTTGTTTACAGATATATATTTTCAAAATCAGTCTTTTATTTTTCTAAAATTTCTACTCCATTCCAAATTTATACGACCTATTGATTCTATGTTTCAGAATAACTAAGATTACTTTTTCTACATTAATTCTTCGTTTCTTCTAAATTAATTCTACAAGTATATATAACAACATATATAGTTGATTAGTATTTCTATTTATATGATTCTTATGCTCACTAAATCTGGTTTTCAATAGTCTACTAATCTGTTCTATATATGATGCATCATATTCATTGCAGTTAATTTTGTATATTATTTGAAATATGAACTTTTCGGAAATTTATTTTTCTATATTGATGAATCTTAATTTATTCAAACCTGTTACGCGTATTGTAGAATACTCGAAGAAGTTTTTGAGTTTCAGATATCCTATTAATGAACGGAATAGTAAAAAATCTAGGTATAATAAAAAAATCTCTTCTCATCTTGTTGTTTATTATGTATGTACATTAACATTCGTATTATTAAACTATTCTAATTTGTTATATAATATATTAATTTGTTATGTAATCCTTTTTAATATTATTAAAAATGATGTCCAAAGGATATTTGTTAATTAATAAAATGTTAATAAATCTATTAAAACTTTTTATGGAGCATATAAGAATATGAGGACCCTATCAATTAAGCTAATTATTGTATTTTCTGCAAGAAAAAATGAGAGTAATATTAATAGAATAATAATAAGGTTTTTGCTATTAATTGTGAATGAAAGTTTTGTTTTTTAATTAGCTTGACATAAAGAAAATTCAATGTTTATCTTCCAATTTCTAACGTAAACTTTAATTTTGGATGGTAAGAATTGAAAATATTGAGCAATATATTGGTCTGTGACACATGTGCTGAGATTACTACATCATCTATGTATTTAAAGCGCAGGCATAAAAGAAAGGATGCTAATAGAGTCTAAGTGAGTCTAAGTCTTGTAGGTCTAAATCAGTTATTATCAAATTAACAAGAAAATCTACTTAGTCTGTTGAAAGAAAAAAAAATGAAATTAAGTACAAGCCTAACTGCACTCAAATTCTGCTTTAGGGAGAATTTCCATTTTAAACTTGTATTTTTTGTATGATATTCATCTATCAAAACATTCAATAAGTACAATTTTACCAATACATTTGTAAATAATAAAATCAACATCCAGGGAAATGAGAATGTTATCATATAGAATTTTTAAATTTCATAATTTTTTAATTAAATGAAAACTATTCTGAAATTATCTAACAGACTAGCATGAATGATATATAAGGGCCGGGGCACACAAAAACTTAAACAGTAAAACTTAAACAGTAAAGAAATGTTGTGGATTGCTGCTTTACATTTTCGACTGTAATTGGCTGATTCGCTTACTGTTTAAATTTTACTGCTTACATTTTTTTGTGTGCTATAGCCTTAAGTACACAGTTAAGTTATAGGGGAGGCTTCCCATAGAGGAAATTACGATATGTAGTAGGTTACCCGGTTTGTATTTTAGGTATGTTCATAGGAATATTATATTAGAAGCATTAAGTTTATTATGGATTGCATTAGAAACTAACTTTCATTATTATTTCCATTTCTTTAACATTAATTTCAAATCTGAGATCACTTTATAGACTGGATTTCGTTTTATACACATAAGAGAGTGATTTGAAAAGTCCGTGAAAACTACTTAATTTTTCGGGATAAACCTTTTTTATTTTTCAACGTAGTCTTCTTTTAGGCTTATACACTTCGTCCAACGCTGCTTCAGTTTGTTGATCCCTTCCGAATAATATGATTGGTCCAACTGTGCAAAATAGGCATTCGTTTCCGCAATCATCTCCTCGTTTGAATGAAATCTCCTTCCCGCTATCCATTTCTTCGCATTGGGGAAGTAATAATCCGAGGGAGCCAAATCTAGAGAATAGGGGGGATGTTGGAATTGTAACTGCATCAATTTTGCGGTCACAACTCCGGAGGAGTGAGCTGGTGCGTTGTCGTGATAGAAAAGGACTTTCTTGTGATTCGATCGTGGACGTTTTTCTTGCAACTCGGTTTTCAAACAGTCCAATAACAATGAATAATATTCACTTCTAATAGTTTTATCCTTTTCTATATAGTTGATGAATATTATTCCTTGTGAATCCCAAAAGACAGTCGCCATAATCTTCCCGGCCAAAGAAATGGTCTTTGCTTTCTTTGGTGCAGATTCCCCGTTGGCCACCCATTTGGATTGTTCTTTGGTATCAGGCGTGTAATGGTGTATCCATGTTTCGTCCACAGTGACGAAACAACGCCTAAAGTCCTGTAAATTCCGCTGGAACAGCTGCAAACATGCAGCTTGGAACACTTCATGATTTCGTTTTTGGTCAATTGTGAGCAATCGCGGCACCCATTTGCAGATAACTTTTTCATAATGTTGATGCAAAATATTATGTTCACTTGAGATGTTCACAGCACTGGCAATCTCACGCACCTTGATTCTTCTATCATCCATTATCATATCATGGATTTTATCAATAATTTCTGGAGTAGTAGCCTCAACAGGGCGTCCAGAACATTCAGTGTCACTTGTGCTCATATGGCTACTCCAAAACGTTTGAAACCATTTATAAACTGTTCTAATCGAAGATACAGATTCACCATAATATTTAGCTTCTTTTAGGTCTCCTGAAGCGATTTGCCTTTCATAAGGTAATGCTTGATCAACACACGAAATTTTCTTTCATCCATTTTTTAGAAATCACTCGACTTCCTTGATTCAAACGAACACCAAATAAAGAGAAATAGATCAATCTGACTGAAACTTAGTGTGTTCTTCCAAGAGATGCTACTAATTGAAAATAACCTCGATACACCAGTGGTATTATCTTTCTGACTTTGCACGGACTTTTCAAACCGCCCTCGTATAAGTATCATTGTTTGAATATTGATTCCATTTTATGAATATAATCTGTTTTTTAAACAATATCACTGTGTTACTGTTATCGGCATGTGTAAAAAAATGGTTATTATTAATAAAAAGTTTGATAACAGTTAAATCGTTATCTGATAAAATAAATTCAGTTTTCCTATGCTTGTTAATATTCTGCTAACAAAAAAACATGTTTCTAAAATCATATATATCAGTGATTTTTAATCAAGAAATATTGTTTTCAAAAATTTAATAAATTCTATAGTCATGAGTTTCATATTACGAGGAGAAAGACAAAAGTTGTAATAAGTGTTGGACTTCTAGTGTGATATTAATATTAAGATTGATTTATAAACTAATTGTTTTTAAAAATAAAAAATTCAAAGAAAACTTTACACAAATCTTATAGAAAATGACTCTCGGACAAATTGCTTCAATTTTAATATTTTGTAGCTCATGTCAAGTTGATTAAAAGTCCTCACGGGCATAAATACCTTAGTTTTGTTCCAAGATCTTCGAAAGAAGATAGTCATATCTTATATAAAAAAATAATTAAAATAATTTTTAATATATATAATTTATTTTATTAACATAGATTAGATATGAATACTATGTAATCAAGAATATATACTATGGGTTACAGAAATATATATCGGATATAATCCCTGACAGACAAACATGCCGAGAACACGCATTGCAAAGTTATGCTATATATTATGCCAATAAAGATCGATCATGAACTACTATATAGATGATAGTGACAGCAAAAATATTGAAAATATTGTAAAAGTTGGCAGTACTTTTATTATAATCCTTTGTTTTTCTAATGATGGTATTGCTTATACACTTTAAATTCTTTTTCGTTTTAAGACTTTTCCCTCTCTGGGTGCTTACAATAATCCAAGTTCGAGTTAGTTTCACTAGGACCATAAAATATAATATAACACATAATCATTTATCTTCATGACAACTCAATTCAACGCTCTTATATTTTCTGAGTTTGAGCTGTAATTAGCTGGTAAAAGATATCGAAGATATTATAAGTAAAGTAATTTTGCAAATTTAAAATATTTATAATTATAATTATTTATCCTATTTAGCATTTGTCACATAATTTAACAACATGTTATCAAAATTATTGTAATATCTTAATATTTAATTAAAACTTATAATAATAAACTTATATATAATTATGTTTATTAGAGGCACAACATTATTTTCAACATTATTTTCTTCTTTCTTCTTATAAATATATCTGCAATAGACATTTTCTTCTTAAAATCAGATTTGCTTGCGTAAATAAATTAACTAATTTAACTCGGGGAATATAAGTCAATATATA